CATCGTTGTCACATGGTAAGGTCACTGCGACAACCAAATGTCTCAATGTAGTCTCGTGTTGACATCTAGATGACGCCAAAAAGTAATGCCACCAAAAGCGGACATAGTAACCCTTTTAGACCCACGCAGGTTCGAACTGGCCATGGACCTGAAAAAGCTATCTTCCCCTGGGCCTCAGTGACCCCTGCGTATGCCTATCGTAAAGGTGGAGCCTTCTGAACACTTGTCCTTTTGAACAAAAAAAAAAAAAAAAAAAAAAAAAAAGCATTTCAAAAAAATCAATACAATTTTGAAACAATACTTTGTCGTAATTTGTTTTATTATTGGCATTATGAATAAAATATTCATTTAAAATTTCATATATTGAATAAGTCTGAAGCTACTTAAATGCGTCACAATTTAAATTATTATAGGAACTGCATCTTCACCCTAATGCATGTGCACAAAAACTTTTGAGTGTACAAACCGGGGCCCCAACTACCATATTCCTTATAAGTCAGCCCCTTCAAAAAATAGAAGAAGAAAAAGGAAAGGAAAAATATTTCTACGCAATATAATACTTCATATTCGTAATGATGAGTTATAAAGGTACATAGGTACAATTCCAGCATAATATGCATAAAATTACGAGTTAACAGATTTCTGATTTTACAAACCCAGGCCCCACCTGCAAAATATTTTAAACCAAGGGGCTCTTCGAACCTCCTCCCTTATAAAAATAAAAGAAGAAAAAATATTTGTACGCAAAAGAATATTTCAACTTCGCAATGATGAATTATGAAACATAAATATACTTAATATTGCGGCATAAAGTGCATTAAATTCTGAGTTAACAAACTTTTGCTCATAAAAACCAGGCCCCACCTTCAAAATAATTTGAACCTAGGGGCCTTTAAAATTTTTCTCCCACTCCCCTAAAAATGGAAGAAAGAAAAACACTTATACCCAAAATGATGCTTCCCCTTTGCAATAATGAATTATGAAACAAAATCATACTCAATAATGCGGCATGATAATGCGCATTAAATTCTCAGTTAAGAAACTTTTGATTGTACAAATCGGGGTCCTACCAACAAAATGTTTGAAGTCAAGAGGATCTTAAAATTCAGCCCCTTTCCTAACACTGGAAGAAGGAAAATTAACAGAAAAATGCTTCTACGGAAAATGATACTTCAACTTCGCAATGATGAATTACGAAACAAAAGCTTACTTACAGTTGCGGCAATAGTATTGATTTCTGTTTAACATTTTAATGGCGATTATTAATTTCTGTTTTATATTTTAATATTAAACAGAAAAAAATATATTATAATATATTATAAAATTTACACCGCTTTATCAGCGCTAATTTAAGAGAAATTGATAAGCTTAAACTGCTTGGAAAAAATTGCATCATTCACAGCCAATTTTGATCTATTCTTTAGCGTGTGCGCAGTACAGATTGTATGCCCCCCCTCTCCCAAATATATTTTCGGAAAATTTAAAGCTAATAGATTTTATAATCTTTAACCAAATTTAGTAAAAATCAAAGCAATAAATTATTTTGTAGTTCTTTCCTTATTTTCTTCCCACTTAAATCATTTCTAGCTTGTTCGTTTTGGCCAATGCCAAGGTAATTAACGCTTTTTCAAAGAGGAAGGAGGAAAAGAATGGAAATTGAGGAGTTGACACTGCGTTTCTCATGATTCTGCACCCCCTAGGAAATCCCTTAACTGATCAAATTAAAATTTAAAAGCGTATAGGTCAAACTTGAATGAAAAAATCATAATATTTCACAACTATTATTGAATTTTATAACACATAATGCCCAGAGGAAACGAGGGTGCATTTATTTTGAAGACAATTCCACACAATTATCTTCTTTTTCCTGGACTTATAGATGTATTGGCAATAATTAAGACTCCGGTGCAGCTAATTATTGTTGTGGGAAGAGTAGAAATTGCATACTACTAGTAGAATTAATAACATTCTTGTGGGGGAGGCTGAGTATTGTGGCGTAATTAACACCACGATTATTAAAACTCAATTCACAAGTGTATTAGACATGTTAACTGGATTCAGTCTTGGGGCGCCTTTTGTGACGTGATTGGTTGACATAGACGAAAACTCTTTCCCCAAAATGGAAACCCATATTTTGAGCGCTTGTGGTGAGAGCAGTATTAAGGTCACGATCGAGTGTGGGGTCTCTCTTGTGTTGCTATTAGGAGCTGAGTGCGTGCAAGATCCCGTTGTGTGTAAATGAGACTGAGGAGCAACAGCGCGAGGAGGACGATGATGCAGTCACAAATATCAAGTCAACATTTTAGTGTGCACCATCCATCGAAAAAAGCATGTTCTTAGCACTTCCGCAAGTCACCAATGTGGGGAGAGCAGAAATCCCCTATACCAACCTTGTGTCAAAGGCTACCACATAAGGTTGAATGGAGTTAGCATGCATTATATACTAATGAATTAACGTTTAATAATTCGCGATCGCAACGAACTATAGGGGGCGTTGTTGTATGAGACGCTTACCTGCGATTTCCATATGAACCGTCATTCAGTTACTCTGGAGACGTCGTTAATGTAGCGTGTAGCATTGCAACGTTCCTTCTTTAATGTGGCTTATTAAATTTAAAAAAGAAAAATGCTTGATCTTCTTTCTTGTACAACCGAAAACAAAATGGTATCTCTTTTTATTAGAGAAGGAATATCCAAAACACATCGGAAAAATATTTGTACATTAACAGAAAAAAATATGTATATTCTTATAAGAGTTAAAACCTAATGCCCGAGAAATAGTATTACTAAATTTAATGATATAACATGAAAGGCCCATTTAAACTTTACATTCTATAGTTTTAAGAATCATATTAGTTCAAAAATTAAAATGAACAAAAAGTATACATAAGCCTCATAATTTTATGAAATTTAATTTTGTAAACAAAGTTTTTTGACAACAATTTTTATCAAAAAATTTCAAGTTTCAATAAAAATCATTATTTAGAAACTAAGAAACGTAAAATAAAGAATGCTGACGAAACAAAAACAAAAAAAAAAGACAATTCTTTTTTGTCGCCATTTTTAGTGCTACGAATATTCGTCTTTGGGATTTGCCAAAAACAAAACAAGATGCAATTTTATTTTTTCAGGAGGGAAATATTTTACCGAAAAAACGAAAATGTACCAATTCCCACAACATAAAACTTTATCTTGGTAAACGTACGTTTTGGAAATGTTATTTCATTTGGAATCTTATTCATCAGAGTTCATATGGCGATATGATTGTTTTGAATCTATGCTAAACTCTATATCGGCTCATTTTCCACCGAAATCCGATTAACTATTTTGATTTTAAATAAAGTGTTTTATTTTATGAATTGTCGCAAAAATTTTAAGTGTAGATTGGCGGCACTTAAAAACCGCCAAATCTGTAGCGGCGGTGGCGTTAATACGTAAGTACCGAATTTTTATTCCATACTTTTCTGAATCATATTACTTCAAACATTGGAATATACAAGAAGTATACATAAACACATAATGTTATACCATTTAATTTTTCAAAAAAAGTATTTTGAGAACAATTTTTATCAAAAAATTATAAACTAAAAAACGGAAAATAAAGAATTCTTAGGATAAAAAAAAGATTTTAAGAATTCTTTACATTGAAATAAAAACTTTCATATTGTTTCTTTTTTTATTATTCTTATAGTTCTTAATCAGACGTAAAAAACCATTCTGTAGAGAACCATCATCAAATGAAAAAAAAATATTTACAAGCAAATTTTTTATTGTAAAAATCATTGCACTTACCTGATTTATGATTCCCGGAGAATTCCAAAATGATAAGTTCCTTGTTTGAAAACTTTATTCTCAAATAATAGATACATAGTTTATACCTTCATTACTTTTAGATAACATACTACACAGCAAAATTTTATAATTGATATGAATTTGAATATGTAGCTAAAAACAGAATAGCTGAATTCTAGTTGAACTTATTCTTTCAAAATTAAAAAAAACTTACCAAGAAAACGATTTAAATTAATTAAGAATCAGCACAAATGGCACTATTTCAAGTAACTTGGATAATTTTTTATTGTTGTTTTCCGAATTATATGGATACAGAAATATATACTATTCTATAACGAAGAAGAATATGCTATAACTATTACAATTCTGTATGTTCTGAATTCATATTTATTCACTGGAATGACGAAAGCAATGTTGACTTCACTTTAATTCGTAATGAATTGAAGACAGAAGAAATGCATTTTACCTTAATACACACATCTGTAACAGTATCCGAAATCGGAAGTCATCAGTTGCAAGTTTGTTGATAATAGAAATTAAAAATTATTGAGGAATTTTTCTTCAAATGTTTGGCGTGTTCTGTTCCTGAAAGATTTACTAATATTCTGGAGATTTTTTTCAAGTTCTTCGGCCTTTTCCTTAGGGAAATTTTGTTTCTTATTTGCTGCTAAAAAATGGCGTCTGATTCAGTCAATGACTTTGATGGAACTAAATGAAAACGTGATAAATTAATGTCCGATATTTACAGGCTCCCGCTAGACGGCGTACTCGAGCGTTGCGATCGCGAATTGTAGTGGTAGTTACGCCACAATTGTATTTGATTTAAAAAACAGTTTTTAAGCTGAACGTGAATTTTGAAACACAGAACGAAATGATAATATTAAAATAGACTTTTTTAAAAATATTGTACTGTAATTTGGAAAAGGAGTCTATTTACATTTAAAATCTTTTTTATAACACTGTGTAAATTTTATTTATGGCTATTTTACCTTCTTTTAAGGGATTGTTCACACTGTAATAACCTGATTATTGAAAAATAATCACTCTCGAAAAACTCGCCAATCAATCAGTTTTTGACTCGCATGCGGTTTTTTCGTAAGCGTTTTTTTTACATACAGTGAGAATGAGCATTGAGAAAATTTCTGCTCATGGTAGAACTTCCAACAAGTTAGCATAAGCAGGTAAATAAAATTTAAGTACGAAAAACAGAGAAGAAAGAAGCTTCTCAATTTTGTTTAGATGAACGGTTTTGTTTTTTAAAGATATTTTTTCGCTGTGTGCGGCAAATATGTTTTGAATCTTATATTTAAATAACACGAATAAATTATTTGCTCTTTAATTTAACAATATTTTTCTATTGTGTCAATTATTCTTTTATTTTGTTTGTCATGTTTATAAACGATTGTCTCATATCTTTTATTGCTGTTTCCTGCCTTAAGTTACTGTTTTTACCACTTTAGTAAGTTTATTATATTATGTTTATTTTTTTATCTTATTCAAAATAACTAATCAACAATAAATTAAAGCTATTCTCTTAAAAAAAACAACACTGATTATTTTGATATATTTTAATGAAAGAAAACTGTCAAAAAAAGTATAACTGATTTATCATCCTTTCTGATTTCATTATAGCTCTATAAAGGAATGAACTTTTTCCGGTTGTTCTTAAATGTAATCACTAACATAGAAATTCCTGATAACAGGAATCAATGTCACGTTACATTATATCATATTTTCAATGACAGATTTAAAAAAATGTTGTCAAACTTTTTTTTAAGCCTATTTATTGCTTTTGATGACAGTATTTAATCACAGCACCATAGCGTAACGAATTTTTTTCATTTGCGCTTTAAATATGTTCGTTCAAACAGATTCATTAGTAACAAATGTGGTTTTGAGTAATTAATATCAGATTGTAACATTGAATGACTATTTTCTTTATAAATATTTGGGCATATTTCTGTATCTGTACATGCCTACTGCCTTTACCAAGATACAAGCAACTTTTTTAGTTTACAAAAATTGAAAAAAAAATATTTTGTGGCTTGATTGGAGGATGGCTATGAGTTACAGCTTTTGAGTTGGTCCACTTTTGTGAAGTTATTATTTATTTTCTCAAAACTTTGCAATTACTTTGCATACATACTGATACAGTAGTCTTTCCAAATATTTTCTTGCTTTGCATCGAAATCTAATAATGAATAATTTATACCTAAATGTGATATGGAATGATTTTTCTCAATAAAATACTTGCTAGCTTTGTGTCTCTCTAATGGCGAATAATTCAATAATGGTAAATGTTCGAGCTAATTAAAATCATCAAGTACCGATGCCCAATTGTTGTACAATGCAATAAAAAATATTTATAAGCAGCGGGCTTGTCAATAGGTGGCTAACAATTTGCTCTGTTTCTATTCTGTAATGTTTCATCTAGTTCTGTGTACGTTAATTTGATGAGCAGACTTATATCTTATACTTTTGCGAAAAAATGGCACTTTTCTGAAAAAAAACCAGACCGTCTGTTTTTTTAAAAAAGGACTGGCTTTTATTTTTAAAAGCCAGTTTTTATTAACTTTTTAACCCCTTCCTTCTCGCTCCCGTGAAAATGACGGGGTGAGGTTTCGCTCTCTATTTCTCGCTCCCGTGATATTTCCGGGCTGGAGTGTTCAGTAGTAACGTGCCAGTAAGAATTAGGCTAATTCGTTTCTTTTGCCTGGAAAACATTTTATTTCTCATTTTACACACCAGATGACAGTACCAGGATATTATTAAGGTGATTGTGGAAGAGATGTAGAAAGGAAACGCTGTATACTGTCCAGGTTGTTACGTTGGCCTCTGTATCTCATGCTTTGAAATTTATCACACAAGAAAAAATTACTAATCTTAATTTATGTTATGCGTAAGTTTAATAAAATTCTTTTTTAATGTTGAAAACACATATTTTTAAAATTTTCCTTGCTTGCTGAAAAACCAACATTAAGTCATAGTGACCCTTGTTGTAATGTTGACCTTTCCTAAAAATTTAATTTTTTAAAATTTCAAGCTAAAAATAAATCAAAAATTAAAAATGAAGTATATATATATTGTTTATACACATATTTTCATATAATTTTCAGGGATAAAAAAAATAGCACTTTTATGACCTTTTTCTTGAAAATTAACCTTATCATTAAGGGGTTAATATTGTATGTTTTATTATTCAAATTAACATGCAATTAAATTAACATTCAAATAAATTTTATTGGTGTCTATTTAGTAAAATAATAAAATTTAAAAAAATTATGGTATTAATTTTTCTTTCTCTTAAAAGCATGGATCACTTCATAAATTGATAAAATATTGTTAATTTTAATGACGTTATTACTGTAAATAATTTGCTTTTAAACCAGACATATCGCTGGTTCAAAACTAAAACAACACTTCTGCTCTCACTTCTCAGTCAAATAACATGAGAAGTGAGTGCAGAAGTGTCATTTTAGTTTTGAACCAGCGATATTTGTGTGAAATTGTTTTAAACCTATTTCAGTCGAATTTTAATTAATCCTAACTATGCGTTAAATTGATTCAAAATAATTAATTTTTAAATTGTATTAAATCTTCTATAAATTAGACATTTTCTATAAAACTGTTCATAATTTGTTTCAAATAATTATTATATTCCGTTTAAAAAGTTAAATATTTAGTAATTATAGTTAGTTTAGTATTATTCATATACTTAAGCTGCATTAATTTAGTTTATTTCTAAATGTCCTTCTAAATGGTTTAAAACTATTGCTCTTAGCGTTTTCAAAGTTAAAACTATTGCTTCAAACTGTTTCGAAACTGCAAGGTTGCTGTTCGAAATTGTTCTTAACATTCAATTACATCAATATAGTAATTAATTAATAGTTCTATATCCTTTTCATATTATTACAGTTTATGAAAAATATTAGTTCTGATAAAAGCAGGCTTTTTTAATTTTAACTTGTTTAAACTGAAAGCTGACCTGCTTTTTTTGGCCTGCCTGAAATCCAGCAACTCTGAGTTTTCCAACAAGACTTTTGATAATTAAATATGTTCAGAAGATATTGTCAAAAATAAATAAATAAAAAGTTCTTACTTGTTAATATTATTTTTTGAGCTGTTAAATAATTTTATTTTGAAAATTAAAATTACAAAAAAAATGAACTTTTATCAGTTATAGATTAAATTCTTAACAGCATGTAACAGTTCAATCCATAGATTGGAGATAATTATTCTACAGGGACATCACCAAGGTGTGGATGGTTGACTGTGTAAAGCTAACTGCTGAGGGATAAAATTCGTCATAAGACTTCTGGTTAACTATTCCTGACTGATTTTTACACCTAGCTTGAAAAAACGTGCCATCCAGTATTATTGTAGTGTTTTCAATGTAGCTCGTTCTTTCATTTTAACTTTCAACAAAACATCCATCAAATGATTTCGGAAGACTTTGCAAGCTTGCTATGATGCTACCCAAAGAGTAACAACAGAGCGATTTTGCATAAATAACGACATCTTTTAAACAGTAAAAAAAAAAAATTCTGTAACTATTTTTTATTTTTTTCTGCAATATAAACTTTTGGTCCCCCTTTAGGATCCTTTCACTAGAATTAAAAGACTGATAATTTAAGGTTTACTTATTTTTGTCAGTAAGATTTTTCTTGTGTTATATTTTCCTTCTTCTTATTTTGCAAAGTCAATTTCTTTTTGTAAGTGGTTTATCAGTGATACTAGAAAACCTAAAGAACAAGTATATTACAGAATTAACTTGCCTCCAAAATATTGATTAAAGCTATTTTTATTTATGAATGAATTCAGATTTTTTTTTCTTTGAAACTGTTATTTAATTTCCTCATTAACCACTTATACATTTTATGTTCTTTAAGAAAAATTCCATTTGTTGGGAAAACGAAGATATTCTCAAATATGTTTATAAACGCATGAAATTTTATAAATTAAAATTTTTACATTTTCAGTAAATCTACAGATTTTGAAGTACACCGTAACTGGATGGCCATAACTTTTGAGAAACCTTTTAAGGAGTGGTATTTGGAGGTTTGTGGTCACATTTTTTTTTTTTTACTTACTAATTTTGCTAATTAATTTTCAGTTTTTTTTTAACTACAATGACACATTTATTTAAACCGAATATAAACTATATTTTATCAAATAACTATTTTTTCTGTGTGCAATTGTTAACTATGTATTCATTTTTTTAAAACTGGAATATGTTCAGTAAACTAAAAATAACGGAAGTACTCATAATTTCTGTATATGTAAGTGTACATACTTTTTTCAGAAAATTAAGATTTCGTCCAGCACTTTTAAAAAATATTTTTTTTTTAAATTCTGTGTAAAACTAAATTAATATGAAAATGGTAATTTTTCTAAAAGAGTAATTTAAAAACTTATGACTTTTTTTATACTATACAAAATTTCATTCTTTTTAAAATTTAAACTACTTCTATAAGTAGCTACTGAAATATATTTTTGATTGCCTTGTGAAGTTTGATTTATATACTAACTATTTTTTGTTCCATTGATATTTTTAGGAAACATCTCAATGGACTTTAGATTACCCACCTTTTTTTGCCTGGTTTGAATATCTCCTTGCATTTGCAGCTAAATATTTTGATGCAAACATGCTGAAAATTTCTAATTTGAACTACTCCAGCTTGCAAACTGTATTTTTCATGCGGCTCTCTGTGATAATATCTGATATTGTATACTGCTATGGAGTTAATAGGTTTGCATATTATTCAGTTCTTTTAATTCTGATTTTAAAATAATTGTAATTTTTTCTGTCAGTTTTTGATTTTAGGAATATAATTATGTTAGTTATAGAGATGTAAAATATTACTTTTTTTTGTTAGTATATTTTGCTGTTGCACCATATAAGATGTATCTACTGGTTTTAAATAAGCAATAACAATTTATGTAATTAAGATTCAATATTCAAATAATGTAGTTGGTGTATGATTAGGTTGCTTTACTTTTATCAGATTTTAAGTTCAATTTTTATCATTATAAAGTAACTTAGATAAATTGTTTTTCACCCGTCTCATTACCTAAATAAAATTTAAGATCATTTTTAAAGGAAAGAAATTCTTTGCTGTTTTAATTTTATAGTTCAGATTAATACAATAAATTGGTGTTGTGTTCTCAATTGAAATTCAATATATTAATTAAGAAGGGCATATTTAATAAATTTAGATTCTGTGTGAGATTTAATAGTTTTTATTTTCAAAAAATTCTTTGTTTATATAAAAAATTTATTAGTTAATTTGTGTATTTGTATTTTATTTTGAATTATATGAACTATACTTATTCCTTATTTATTATTATTTTTTTGATTAGTATTCATTATTGATTTATATTTATTGTCTTATCATTAGATATAAATTTAAGAACATAAAATGACTAATAAAACATTCATATCTTTCCTAAAGTAAATCTTGTGTTTGCCATTACTTCATACAAATGATGTTGAATATTGAATGATGTTGATATAATGTGCTGTGCATTTATCAAAGCTAAAATCAATTTTTAATAAAATTTTTCTTCCAAGCTCTGATTGTCAAAAATATAGTATAATATATTAGTTATGAACATCTGAAATTAACTCCCATAAACTTTTGTATAATTGTGCTACTGATGTTTCCTGTGCCTAACATTGCTTTATTTTTAGAATTTTTCAGTTGATAAAATCTAAAAAAGGCAAGGATAAAGATCCTTGGTTATCAGCTGAAGTAATACTTGCTATGTTGTTACTTTGGAATCCTGGTCTTCTACTTGTGGATCACATTCATTTTCAATATAATGGCTTTTTGAACGGGTTTTTATTTTTATCTATTGCCGATATGCTTCAGGTACAAAGCAATTGTTTTTAATACATTTTGAAACCCTTTAATATTTTTCTTAAAAAAGGATGTATATTTACTTCGCTTATCATTTTTAGGGAAATTATGTTAGATCTGCCTTTTGGTTTTCTGTGCTTCTGAACTTAAAACATATATACTTATATCTGGCTCCTGCATATTTTGTATTCCTCTTGAAGAATTATTGTTTTAAAAATGGTTAGTAACATTGCTGTTTCTAAATTTGCATTATTTTAAGGCAACTTTAAATGAATAATAATGCCATATTTTATAATCTTTGCTTTGTTTTTAATTTTTAGGTAAATTTTTTGATTTAAACTCATTTTCTGTGGAAAGATTTTTAAAACTGGGTGCTGTAGGAATTGCTACTGTACTTGTTTCATTTGGTCCTTTCATTTACTTGGTATTACATTTTAATTTTTACCTCTTAAAGCTTTTTATTTTTTAGAAAAAGAAACATTATGCTTGTGCACTTTTAATATATTTTGTTTAAATATAAAATATATTGGTTGATAATATGTTATATTGAAAAAAGACTAAATTTCATTTTTTTTAGTGTATTTGAACTAAAATAAATGTGTTAATTTCAATATGCATGCATAATGAACTTTTTGTAATTCAAACATGGTTAATTCAGTATAATATGCAATTTAACCTGATTTTAACTCCTATTTCTTTAATTTTAAAATTTCGCATTATTGTATTAAATTTTAAATCTTTTTCAATCTTTTGTTTAGTTTAAAGTATAATATAAAATATAGTATAAAGGAAAATTCCTGCTTCGTAAATTTATTGACCAATTTTTCCCACCAATATTTTAAAAGTAATATGAAGGATTAATAACAGAAAGATAAACTGAAACATAACAAAAATTAGAGAGTTATTAAAAGGGCAAACGTGAGCCTTTTAATAACTCTTACCTTTTCTAACTCTTTAAGCCTTTTAGTACCTTTTTATTAAGGCCTACCTTTTAGTTTAGTACTACCTTTTATTTCAGTGAAATTTTAGTTTCTGTATCAATTGTTTATAACCTGTGTCATATTTTGTAAATAATTTTTTGTTTTTTGTTTTCAACCTTATTAAATTTAATGAACATAATTTGTAATGAAAATGATTTTGTTATAAATTAAAAACTCACAAAACTGTTTAATCCTTTAATCAAGGGACAACTCAACCAAGTTCTTTCAAGATTATTTCCTGTGCAGCGAGGATTAACTCATTCCTATTGGGCTCCTAATGTTTGGGCCTTGTATAACTTTGCTGATCGGATCCTCAGCTTTATTGGTAAAGCTAATTATTTTATAGTTTGCTTGAAATATTATTCTTATTGATGTTTTTTAATGTTATTGCATTGCTACATTTATGTGTATACATTGATTGCTAGTGTATATTTATATTGAATCTTTTTCAATCAAATTACGAAATGATAATGAGAATTAATTTTGAAGCGATGGTATGAATGAAATGTTAGGATGTAATATAATCATCTAATCTCATAACAGCGAAACAAGCAACCATCTTCTTAAAGTAAAACTTTCACCATAGATCATTGCCTATCTATTAGACTTGAAAATAGCCACTCGCAACAAAACAAAAAAAACTCTAAAAAATTTATTTTTAAAGTGGCGACTTCAATTAAATACACAACCAGTCACTTTTTTCTGGAAATCTTTAAATGATATAAGTACATCAATGCAGAAAAGCTCAGAAAGACAGAATTTTCATTAAAATGTTCAATGCCTCCATTCAAATTATTGATTTGATTCTTCAGAATCTGTCAATTTGTGATGGAAAGATTCATGCAAAAGGGGAATTCTTAAACAATTTACATATTTCAAAGTTGTAATGTATACATTTAATGTATTTCGTCTGCCCAAATATTTAAGTATGTTTAGCTAAATTCGATATTTTAAACTAAATTTTTTCTCATATTTTTATTATTGAATTAACTTTTTATATCCGTAAATTATTTCTATTAGTAATTTTTTGAAAAAAATATATAATTTAATACAAGTAAAAAAAAGTTTGCAAGAAGTGAATATTAAATAGAAAGGACCTATCAATATCGGTCACCGACTCATTAGCATTTAGGGAAAAGTGGCTACTTAGTTATTAGAGTCTACCAGCCACTGGCTACTAACTCGGAATTTGAATTCTCAGGTCTACTATCTATGCTAGAATCATTTGTTTGAATAATACTGTGTAAGCTAACAAAAAAGAATTTGTACATAAAAGGGAAAAGGTTATTTGCCTGTCTATTGGTATTTGAGAAGCATTCGCCACTCTTCTTTTCTGATGGTACATGATAAGAAACTTTCCAATTTTAAAACCACAGTAATTAGAAAATGCAGGAAATAATGCTAATTTACAAAGCATGGTGACTGTTGTCCTCATTTGTGTTGTATTTAAATCTAAATGTTTTTGAATGATTTTCATTATGCTCTATTTTTCCTTAAATTGTTTCAGTAAAACTAGGGTGACCATTTTTCTTAAACATAGCAACAGAGTTAAAGGGAAAAAATATGGAGTAAGAAGTAGAAATATAAAGGAAATAAATGTGTTGAGATTTATATATATATATATATATATATCTGTTTTGTTTTTATTTACTTATTTAATGCAGTTTACAAGCATTTAAAATTGAATTTAATTTAATAGTAATTAAAT